GTGATATGATAAAGCCCCTCCCTCTGTTGGTGGTATAATACTTACCCATAAACATCATGATATCGTTGAATGCAAATGCAGACAATAACAAACTCGACGTGTACGATATGGAACTTACATAAATCATACCAAAATCAGATAGACATCTTGGCAACAGCTTACCACCTAATAACACGCCTGCATTGTGGAAAAAATACTCCGTTGTGATATTAATTTAAACAAATGTAATGTTTGGGTTTTTTTTTTTTTCTCTAGTATTATGACAAAAACCCTCACCAATTATCGCCCACGACGTTAAAATTATTGCAAATTTGGCGAGAAAACCATAGTACATATGAAATCGTCGAAACATCCGTTGTTTTATCTTGTTGAATATTCAATTTGCTGCACTTAGTGAATCACTTGCCGCTAAATATGCACATTCCCCAGGATAAATCTTTAAGTTAAGCAAATATTCTCCTTCGTCTATAGCCCCTAATTCAATCAATAATAATAATAATAATAGAAAGAAAGTTTTTTTTCTTATCATTTCAATACGCATATCTTGGGTCGCGCCATCTATTGTCGAAGCGCCTCAGTGACGTCACAATCACGTGACTGGGTTGTTTGGTATTACATGTTGGGTTAGTATAACATATTAAATGATACAAATGTGAACAATGTCAGTTGACAGATATGTTTACACTGTACTCGTTTTTAAGTCAAATTAGAACTAATATTAATATCCACGTTGTGAGCGCAGTCTCTTACACCCATTTACGTCACAGAAGCGTTTCGCCACTAGAGGGCGTAAATTACATGAGCAGTGTGACGATATATTGATTACCTGGACCACGTAGAGCCACCCTAGCGGCACTGAAATAACCAATCATTACAGAAGACCAACAGAACGGATAATCCATACAATAGAGCACGTACAGGCCATTGCACCCAGTCTGGGACAAGATTTGGAAGAATAATACTACTATAAGAATAACCAATTGTAGACGCAGTCCTGATCGTTTATTCTTGAACAAAAGTGCGATCTGTTTGAAGTGGTCAAACGTCAATATGGATGTATTACTTGTATCTTCAACTTTCAAACTTTCTCTTACAAAAAACACGGCGTAGAAAAATGCAGCGGATGAGACGGAGATGTGTAGCCAGAAGGCAGCCTGGTAGCCGTATATATGTATGGCATAACCAGCACAAAGTTGTGCTCCACCGAATGCAAACGAATAGACAATTTCCAGTACAATCATTCTAAAAGTTCTTTGTTGTTTAGTTGTGATATCAGAAATGTATGAACAACAAGTCGCCATCTCAGTTGTGTGTTCACCTCCAAGTCCCTGTAACACAGCGCCGAAGAAAAGAGTCCATAACGGTAAATGCAGGTATATGACGATAAGGTAATTCAGGCCATTTAAAGCAGCGCCAACAGGCGGTAACATTAAAGGAATCTTTCTTCCAGCTTTATCACTATACGCACCGAGTATGGTTGCAACAAACATCGCTATGAATTGAGATGTTGCTGTGAAGTACAAAGTCCACATCGTCGCTTGTTTTTGGATTTGTTCTTGCATTATGTACTCCGAAGAGCTTATGTTGGCGTAACATGTTCCGTTGGTGGTGTCCAACCCACTCACTTCGTAATCCTCCGCGATGCGCGATCGAATGTATTGTGGGAATGATGTTATGTAAACACCTTTTCCAAACATAAACAACAACACTATTGGTTCTACCGTGACGATCGGCCATTTTCGAACTGGATGGGATATCAGTGGTGTACTCTCATCGTCGTCTGAAGAATACATAATAGTGCTGTGAACGACTGCGCTGCAAAATTTAACAAATCCACACAATAAGCAAAATTAAAACGCCATCAACCATTCAACATATTACTACAATATCTGTCGACAATACAATGTCAACAGTTGTCAAATTTGTCTTCACACGGTGTGGACACAGACGCTCAGAAGGTTTCTTAGATAATAAAAAGGGCCTAAAGTAAGGTCGATATACTTAATCAATCGCCGATACATTCGCCGACCACTCTATAATAACACTAGGTGGGAAAGGAAATTTACCATGACATAGAAATTGTCCGAAAATAACTCGAGCATGCGCAGTTTCCAAACATGTACACGCGTACTGCCCCGTCTTACAATTCGAATATCTAGGCCCAGTACAAATTCACAGACGGCGACCGCACGTGTTTTTAACGTTTTATCAAAATTTTGAAATTGAATTTTCCTGAAAAATAAAAATTAGGCTAGTAGTATGCAACATAATTAAATTAAAAAAAATATGAATGACAAATTTATAATTTTTTTTATGGCAGCAAATTTTCGAATTTCATGTAAACAATGTATTTTACACACGTTGTATACGTCGCTATGAGTCCCATATCGAACGCGGCGCGACGACCACCAAGCTGCCCTTTAATATAATACATTATGTCAATATGGAAATAAAAAAGGGTTGAAGAAACATGTACAAGTATTGCTTTATAAAACATAATTGATTGTGAATAGAAGACGAAATAAAAATAAAATGAAATAAATAAATAATAAAGTGTGCTGCTTGTTATTGGTTTGAATCGTGAATTAGTAGGAATTGTCCTTTGTAATATTTGTCCTCTAATAATAAAATTCGTTTTCAGCAGAAAATACAAAAAATAAGTCCTGTATAACTTTATTTGTTGTTCACAGTAGGCTAGCTTTCTGAAATTATTTTCTACAAGTGTAAGTATGTATTGCCTTCGTGATATTCACCTCTTCATGCTGCATTA